AGTGTTTGGCCTCGTCACGCTGAAGATATTATCCTTTTCAGGTTTTACACTTCTATTTTAATGTAATTCTACAAATTCAATAAACTTTCGCATGCATATTAAGCCCTGTACGGCACTGCTACACGAGCAGCAGCAGGTGGACCGTCGGCGGCCGTCAGCAGCAGACGGGGGAGAAGACGCCACGTATAAGTGTGAGGGATATGTAATTTGTTGAAATAAATGAAGAAATTCGTTTTTGTATTTACTTTTATAGAGTTTTATATCTTATTTTAAAAAGATAAAGAAGAAGACGGAGGAGTATATTGGGGGCGGGGGGCAGCGGCGGCCAGCCACTCATTCTCTCCTCTGCACACCGGCCTGCTGCTGCAGCTGTTGATGGTTTCTCTTTGTTGCTGTATTTGTTCTTTGTAGTTTGTCTTTGAATTTCATTTCTCTTTAACTCAAAATACAATAGACTATTTTTATACAGAAAGGGAGACAGCAGCAGCAACTGCTTTTCTCCTCCGGCCGCCCCCCTCCCCGCTGCTGATTCCTTCTGCTGGGGGCCGGCAAGAGCTGTATTTGTTGCTGCTGCTTCTTCTCTTTGTGAATATATTTTATGTTGTTTTGTAAACCCCAGCATATAACCACGCACAAGTTGTTCGTATTCTTCTCTTTCTCTTCTCTCGCATTCACCTTTATGCCTTGAGGGCGTTGGCTCTTGTAGCCGGCGGCGCTCGGCCTCTCTGCTTTACTGCAGGTGTTTGTTTTTTTGTTTGTTTTTTTGTTTTTTTGTTTGTTTGTTTACACCGCGTCCCCTTCAACTCCTTCACACTTCTTCTGGCGAGCCCTCCTTATACACACCTACCAGGCTGCTGCCCGGGCTAAGCAGCAGCAGCAGCAGCAGCAGCAGCAGCAGCAGCANTTATACACACCTACCAGGCTGCTGCCCGGGCTAAGCAGCAGCAGCAGCAGCAGCAGCAGCAGCAGCAGCAGCAGCAGCAGCAGCAGCAAGGCTGTGTTCTTTTCCTTATTTACTGAGGTACTCAGCCTGGTATCCCTGTCTTCTTGTCGCTGCCTATACACCCCAACACCTGAAACAAACTCCACACAGGTAAAACCACCGCTCTTCTGTCTCGCAGCAGCAGGCACTCTCACCTTGTTGCTATTCCTGCTGCTGCTTCTCTCTTCTCTCTCTTGTCAATGTAAAGATAAACATTTTGTCTCGTTGCTGGAGAACAACTCAATTCCGCTTACTGCTTATTCGCAGCCCCCTCAGGTGTATATACACCTCACCGCCGCCCCCAAACCCAAGGAAGGGTCCTTCTACTGCAGCTTGTCATTTATATAGATAATATATATATAATATAGTACATATATTATATATATATTATATATATATGCATGCATGTGCATCTATTGTTCCCGTAATCACGAGCAGCAAATATATAAATTTATTTACTTTTTTGTATAGAAAGGAGAGGAGGGGGTTTCTCTTCTCTCTGCGCCAGTGCAGCTGCTCTTATATACACATGTAGTTATTTCTGCTCCTAATACAAATATACATATTTGTTCTGTTGGCTGCTGCAGCCTGAGTTGCTAGGTAGCAGCAGCAGCAGCAGCAGCAGCAGCAACAGCAACAGCAGCAGCAGTAACAGCAGCAGAAACAGCAGCAGAAACAGCAGCAGCAAGTTCAGTTGGAACTGCTTCCTTTGGCTTCTCGCATATTTATTTGGTCGGCTTTCTTTGCTTCGGTCACCGCTGCGCTCTGCAGTTCTCAGCAGCAGCAGCAGCAGCAGCAGCAGCAGCAGCAGCAGACTGCAGCAGCAGCAAACTGCAGCAGCAGCACAGTGGCAGAGC